GCCGCGACACTTGGGGCAGACTGACTGGTCCCTTGGGACGAGGTTCTTCGTGAGCCGCGACACTTGGGGCAGACTGACGGGTCCCTTGGGACGAGGTTCTTCGTGAGCCGCGACACTTGGGGCAGACTGACGGGTCCCTTGGGACGAGGTTCTTCGTGACCCGCGACACTTGGGGCAGACTGACGGGTCCCTTGGGACGAGGTTCTTCGTGAGCCGCGACACTTGGGGCAGACTGACGGGTCCCTTGGGACGAGGTTCTTCGTGACCCGCGACACTTGGGGTAGACTGACGGGTCCCTTGGGACGAGGTTCTTCGTGAGCCGCGACACTTGGGGCAGACTAACCGGTTCTTTGGGACGAGGTTCTTCGCGAGCCGCGACACTTGGGGCAGACTGACCAGTCCCTTGGGACGAGGTTCTTTGTGAGCCGCGACACTTGGGGCAGACTGACTGGTTCTTGGGACAAGGCTCTCCCTAAGCAGCAATACTTGGTGCAGACTTACTTGACTGGTCCTCTTGTGACAGTACTTATGTTAACTGAACACATTTAGGCTGAAGTACTTATAAAAGACATGTCAAATAGCATATAAACAAAAAATCTTTCGTGAATAAAAAGAACTGTCATGGCTTCCTCCTGCATAACACTAACATTAACACCTAATCAAATAATACTTACAACAGCAGGGTTTAGCAACTGACAGTATATATTACCACATAGTTTTAAATAAAGGTCATGACACTATATAAACAACTTATCAACATAAGTTAATTAGAGACATAATGAAATAGAGATCATGTTTTTATGTAATTAGCTTAGTAACATCTTTTACTGAGTGTTTAAGAAATGGTATTGAATGTCTCACTTTGATTTACCATTGAAACATGAGGTCATGGAATTAGATAAGTTCATGTAAGTTTCATTAGTATCTATCTTTTTTATTTTTAAATTTATAAAACTATCTCTTCATAATAATGATCATGCTATTAAGGGGAATAAGGGCTGGAGCCAGTCATGTCTTGGTTTAACTGTTGGTGATCTTTATTGTGAGCTATGGCTAAGTTGTTAGTTGTTATAAGTAAGTTAGACGTGACTCCTGTGGGTGGCATACTTCCCTTTTCTTTTTATCTCATTTCAGGAATTGCTCCCAGTACCTGGAATTGTTCTTGCGCAAGCAGGTAAGAAGCATATAGATAAGAGCATAATACTCAGTATTTAACCTACTAGTAAGGATCCTGATTGTAATGTTGGTAAAAATGGCCAGCCCTGATAGTAGTTGATCCACTGGCATTCTACTGCATTTTATGGGATTATGTCATAATAATATATTACAGCTCCTTGTGTTATGAGGCAATGGCAGTCTTTCATCACAAAATTCATTACGCCAAAAGCAATTAATCAGCAAGTCACGCAAAATGATCATACTCTATTAGAAAACATGCGTTACGGAGTGTTATTGCCCCGAGGACCATGGATTATGGGCGTTTCCTACAGGTCCTTTTTGCTTAGGCCCTTACTTAAACTGGCAATGTATAAAGCACTTCTGTCCTATCTAGGAATCCTACAAATAGGGTAATATATAATTTAAATCAACAGCAAGAAAAAGACAATTATTTGTCAACTACAACCTCTAAAATTATATTTTTGTTCCAGAGGAAGGACAGGAAGTACTGGTGGCCAAAAGACAAGTGAACACTGAAGAGGAGGAGAAGGAAGAAGATGAAGAAGAAGAGAGAAAGAGGGAACATAGAGAAGAAGAGGAGAAGGAACATACCGGTAGTAAACTTGAAAGGAAAAGGAAAAAGAAGGACAGAAGAACAACAGCAAAAAGAAAAAAGGAAAAGGAGGACAGTTGTTCAAAAAAAGGATTTTAAAGGGACCCTGGTCAGCTGCACTTTTGTTTTTGTTTACCTTTGGATTTTCAATTTTTCAGAAACTGATGTACAAGTTGTTACTTTTATGCAGTAATAGTTATGATTTGAAATTAAAAGTTAACCCTTTAACTCCCAGATCAAATTTGTTATTCTATTAAATGTCAACCGTACAATTCTTTTAATGTTAGTTGAGAGAATTTAGTATTGGATCTACTAATTATCCCCCAATTGATCTTTTTCTTTATTCTCATCACTTATCTTGTTACTATCGTAAGGAGAAATTCTGTCTTGGTCACTCATGGGAGTTATAGGGTTAGTGTTGCACATGCAGTATGGCCTGGTTTACTTGTGTCAGCTATTACTATTTCTTGTATGTTGTGATATACGCTCCTCGTTTGAAGGACTTTGTCCTCTTGCTTGGAGGTTTTGTTGTTGTTGTTGTTTTGTTTTTATTTTTTTGAGGAAAAAATCTCACTTTGAGGAAACTGTTCACATTGAGACTTAGGAGTGTTAAGCTTCCTGAAAATTAGCCACAAATACCATGTAGTCAAAGGAGCACTTTAGTTCCTTAACTGTCTATCACACTTAATCTAAGTCTCTTATCCCCTTTACTTGTATGGATCATATTACATTTTCCTTTACTCTGCATCAACAGATATTAATAATGGTAATTGAACTGAGTGGAGTGCAATTTGGGCTGAAATCATACGCATGATTTCATCCATTTTGAAATCGCCCAAGTACAGGACTTGGTCAGTTCAATGCAGTACTGAGCTGGTTTGAAATAAAATTCATCCATTTTTGGGGGGAAAAGATAAGAGTTTTGGAAACAAAAGTTGCAAAATTTGCCTCATGATACTCATTGTCTCTCATTTCCTGCAATTTGATTGGTTGTTTTCAGTAGACCTTGAAATCTGATTGGTTGTTTTGTTTTTAGTGAAGCCTCCTCACTGGCTGGGAAAAAGATGTGATTTAAAGCAAAAAACGGTGCAATTCAAGAATAAATCGCACCAATTAGAGCCAATCAGATTACAAAATGGGTGTAATAAATAATGGTAATTGAACTGAGCAGAGTGCAATTTGGGCTGAAATCATATGCGTGATTTCAAAATCGAATGAGTGCGCAGCGCAAGTTCAATTTGAAATCACTAGTATGATTTCAGACCAAAATTGCACGACACGAGGTTCAATCACCACTCTATTGCATCCATTTTGAAATCGCCCAAATACAGGACTTGGTCAGTTCAAACATTTTATTGATGCAGTACTGAGCGGGTCTGAAATTAAATTCATCCACTTTTTGGGGGAGAAAAGTAAGAGTTTTGGAAACAAAAGTTGCAAAATTTGCCACATCATTCCTGCAATTTGATCAGTTACTTTAAATAAGCCTTGAAATCTGATTGGTCATTTCGTTTTTAGTGTAGCCTCCCCATTGCCTGGGAAAAAGATGCGATTTAAAGCAAAAAATGGTGCAATTCGTGAATAAATCACCTCAATTAGAGCCAATCAGATTACAGGGACCACCAATGATTTCAAAATGGGTGTAATAAAGCCTAAAACAAGTAATGAATACAGTTATACATTTCTTTTAAATGGCACGTATGGTTATGTGTAACATAAGAAGTGTCCTCATTGTACAAAGAGTTTTATCCCAGGGTGTTCTATTTGTTCAATCAATGTTTTAGATTTAACCTCTCAATCAAAACAATTTTACAGTCAGATATGATTTGTGACTCTATCTTTGGTCCAAAAAAGGAAGTTTCAGAGCATTCTGCTCAAGAATAACCATAGTAAATTTTTACAGCCATACTTACAAATTCAAACTTATTCTAATGTTTACAATTTTTTTTAATTTGAATACATTGATGACCAGAGCATATTATGAAAATATACAAAGAAAATAAAACCTTTTGAAGTAAATAATAATTCAAAGATAACTTTCTTTTACATGGACACAAAAGAGACCATATATTGGAATAGGAAAATTTGGAAGACTTTCACAAGAGTATCAAAATTTAAGCTTACATCAAACTCAATACCTTACTTACAGTCATGCCCACTTTGTTGAAAGGGTGGAATTAGCTTCCTTGAGTGATAGCTCCGTGATTCAATAGAGCAGGGACCCTTTGTCTTAATTCTTGCTTTGCACTGAACAATAAGAACATTTAGAAGTATATTATACAGTAAATATACACATTTTATGGCAACATCTTAAAACTTTTATATATTTTGATGATGAACGAGAAGCATAGAAACCAAAAAAAGTCACTGATGTACATGTTTAGTGTCCCAGGTGGAAATCTTATTAAGATCTTACTAAGATTCTTGTAAGTTTCTTACTAAGATTCTTATTAAGATTCTTAAATAAGAATCTTGTAAGAACTTACAAGATCTTGTAAGATCTTGTCACAAGATTCTTACAAGAATCTTGTAAGATCTTACAAGATCATGTAAGAATCTTACAAGATCTTACAAGATCTTGTGACAAGATCTTGCAAGATTCTTGTAAGAATCTTGTGACAAGATCGTACAAGAATCTTACAAGATCTTGTAAGAATCTTGTGACAAGATCGTACAAGATCTTGTAAGATCTTACAAGATTCTTGTAAGAATCTTGTGACAAGATCTTACAAGATCCTATTAGATTCTTAACTAAGAATCTTGATAAGTATCTTAGTGAGAAACTTACAAGAATCTTACAAGATCTGGTAAGATTCCTGTGGAAAGAATCTTAATTAAATACCTTTACAAGTTTTCACAAGAACTTGCTAAGATTCTCAACAATATCTTAAATGATCTTCAAAAGAACTTCAAGATCTTGTAAGATTCTTAAAGAACTTTTAAGAGTGTTTGCAGAATCTGTTTAAATTAGTAGATATCATAAATTTTTTTTCAGACCAATTTGCGGGTAAAATATAATGGTTTATGCAATATGTAATAACTAGATGAGTGAGGAATGGAGATCACAACCAAGAAAGAATTTCTTTATCTAACATCTATGCAAAATTTATTGCAAATTCTCAACACTGTGAAATTAATTTCTAACAAAGATCTTGATAAGAAACATTAACTGTTGAACTTGTTTGATTTAAATGACAATTTGATTTAAAGTATCATTAATCCTTGCACAAACAAGCCATTATATCTAAAGGAAAAACACTTCAAACAACACTATAATTATACATTTCCCACTTCAAAAATTTGCTAATATATTCAAGCAAAAGTAGCAGCAGGACAGGGATAAAACTTTTTCTATCAAATTGAATTACTGTATTAATAACTCAAAAAATTTGACAGCTATTTTCCCTTAATGATAAAAAACAATGATTTGTGATACTTGTTTTGTTATTTTTTTAATTAGAAGAATTTTTGTATTTAGAAATACAAAATGCACTGCAATACTGTGAATTAAAGCTCGGTTTCCATTTTTACAAAAGCACACCCACTCCCTAAAACCAGCACTGGCAAAAGCAGTAACAAACACTAAAAAATATTGTCTATGTCTCAAAAGCTCGAGTGCTAACCTTAAGGATGGGGACATGTCTCAGTTTGCAATGGCTTTTCTTCTTTTAGAGTAATTTAAGTATGAAAACAAAAAAAAAACTTTTTGTACTAAAGGAAAGGTGTTCAAATAATTAAAGCTCACTATCACTCATCTTAATTAGCATTTGACCATTAATTTGCATATATTTCTTTCTTGTATAAAAAAGGTTCATTCAGTCTGTGGACTTGTTAACATCTCCCTCTACAATGAGAAATTTTCTCTTGGAATCCAAGCATTTTTGATTCAAGGAGAGCCTTATTTGAGGCCACTTCTTGTTCATTTGGGCATCGCCAAATTTATGTTTTATAGCTCCTATGGGAAGGAAAAAAAAAATTATATATATATAATATATACACACATATAATAGAGAAAACAGAAATCGTCTTATTTTCTACCAGTCCATATTTATTGCCTTCCTGCTCATGGCTTGATTAACAGAAACTCTAACACATCTTCAGTGCTTTCCAAACTTTCCAAGTACTTCATAATTCTCAGTGACTGCATGCTAATGCAGAAACCAGTTGTTAATTTATGGCCCTAGGTACTGTCCAAATAAATGTGACTGGCTACTCAAAGCTTAAAGGATAACAGGTGTTAATTTGTTTCCTTCTAGAGCCAGCTTCCTTTTAATGAAAGCCTTGGCAATATTACTTTGTGTGCAAGAGCAATGAATAACCCTGATTCAATCGTGAAACAAGAATTTTCTAACATATAACAACAGCAACAAAGCTGATTGTTGAAATCTCTGTTTTTGTTTTGTTTCTTGGTATGCTTTTCTTTGAAAAAACTAACTAGTACACAAGAAAACAAATTACATTGGCTTACTTTTTAGTAGATCAACTCTGTAAGGGTCTAACTCCACCTTGCCAGTAGCCTTCCCTCTGGCAGGCTCTACGATGCCATTTGCCATCTCCTCAAGTGAGAAGAGATTGGCAAAAACCTTGAGAGCATATTTTTTTAAATCCCCACCAGAGGGGAGTAATAGGAGGTTGGTTTCATTGTACATCTAAAATGAAATATAACATATTTAGAGACAAGTATCAAGATTGGAAAAAATAACCATCTGTGTTTAAAAAAAGTATCATCATCTATTGTCTGCAATAAAATTGTTGCTCTTAATAATTGTGACTTAAATTCCAGCTTGCAGTAGCCTGACTAGTGAAGTGTACTTACTAAGGAAGGTAAAGGTAGAGGGGAGGAGTTTCTCCATTGTTCTCCTTGATCACCATCATGCCTCATCTGTATGTACAGAAAAGGAGGTATTGACTATCTTTAACAAGAATTTACTTATTTATTATCTTTAAGAGCAAAGTTCTTATGCAAAGGTTACCATTTATGAAAATTGGCAATTTTCACTGCCCAACTTCAAACAAACTTTGTTCACCTTTTACACCATTGAAACAACTATTCAAAATTTCCACAAAAAGTTGATAAATGAAAAATTACCTTTTTACTATCAGGAGTTGCCACCCTTCTATCCCATTCTGTGCTTGTGACATTTAGATGGGACTCAATGAAGTCTACTTTATTCAAGATACAATCAATTTTTCTGGTGATCATATCTCTCCAGTTGTCCTGTGAGTATAAATAGAAAAAAAATGTTTACATTTGTAAAGCAATCCTTCAACTAAATAAATTGTCATTAAGCTTAAAAAGAACCAAAAATTTGTGAGAAAGGAAAGTAAGGAATCATAATTCAGCACTAAATGAAAACCAGAAAAAAACACATTTGCAAAACAGAACCAAACAAAACACAAAAAATGTTGCATGGAATTAATACAGGTGTCAAATGTGTTTATGTGGAATTAACAGGATAACAGAGCCAAATTTTACCTTAAGCCATTTAAGTTGCTGGTTCTTTCTAAGATGGGGAGGTCAAATGCACTTTAATTCTCCAACATTGAATATTTAAAGTCACAATACTTACATCATCAGAAGAACTTCCCCCTCTTTTGGCAATTTTGTTGGCTTTGGGAAAATTCCTACCACTGGGGACATGGTGATGATAATCAGACCCAGTTTGGCTTTCATCATCACCATCATCATCACTGGAAACCTATAAGTAGAATATTGTAATTTAACAGGTTATAATTTATTACACAATTTAAAGCACCAATGAAAATATGGCCTATTATCTATTATCAGGCATCATATTTGGTACTTGATATAGAAAATGTGTTAAAATGGCAATGATTGTTCTAAAATGTTACAGTTAGTTTCTTGCTTCAAAGAAAGTGTGATTAATATGAGCATGTAATAGAGGAAAGCACTTACCTCCTGATTTTCAAAAACAGATGAACCCAATTTTTCCAACTTCTTCATTTCGTTGCTGATGTCCCAATCTAAGAGTAAAAAAAAAAAATTAAAATTCTATAGCAAGTTACCTCAACAACAGATTCAGTGTGTGTTGTGGTTCCATTTCATTTGGTTTAAAAAATAGCAAACCATTTTAAGTTTGATAATTTCGCTTTTTCTACAGAACGTTATCAGTAAAACGTTTAGAACAATAACCTTTAGAACAATAACCTTTAGACCCCAGGTGACTACTGTGATCAGTATATTCCACTAAGGTATAGAACAGAAAATTAACTCAATTCTAGGAAAAAATCTTCTAACCTATTGCATCCTTTTTTTTGTTTTGGTGACTGGGACACTCTTGCTTGCTCTGGGGATAATGCACCTTCCAGGGCCTCCATCCTCTTTTGGCATTCCTCCTTATTTCCTTAAAAGGAGAGAATAACAGCCAATAAAATGTGTCATGTCCCTATTTGAATCTTCACTGAAAGAAGGGGAAAGTAGTTACCTGGGGTATTTCTCAGGTTTGCTGAAAATAGCAATCACCATTTGCTCAATGTTTTGTATGTTTCTTTGTTTATAAAACCTTTCTGATATCACTGACCTGTTCAGCAATGTAAGTCTTTCTCCATGTTTTCTCAAATTGGTTATTATCTTAGTTAATGGGACTTCTGCCATAAAATAAACAACCCTTACAATTGCCAATGAGTTCAGGTCCATATAATTTGAAACGTGTTAGAAAAAGTCCAATATCAGGGTGTTTTTCCTGGGTGATTGAGGGAAAGAGGAGGCTTGGCTGGGAGTTACCCAAACTATATGTTACCATTGCTTACGGTGTCACTGCTCTCTCCCAAATAAACATTTATGGAGAAAAATTAATTACAAAAAAGAAAAACAACAACAAAATATTGGATCGCATCTATTTGCTCCTGGCCAAAGCGAACATAAACAATACCTACAACTTACCGATAAACATAAGCGTTGCAGAATACTTCTTACCACTGATTTTCACCGACACTGTGCTCATTACTTTAGCTTCCCGATCTATTGTTTTCCGCTCAACTAAACTATACTTAAGGTCTTCCATAAAGAATAAGACAGTGATCTTTGTCCTCAAAATCTGAAATAAAACAAAATTGCTAATAAATAAATTTCAGGGAATAAACGGATCACATAATCGATTTCCCGTTAGTGTTATTGTACCCTTTTAGTTACTTTTAGCGGCAAGGTTATTAGTAACGAAAGCCCAAGACAAATATTTGTTTATTGCAAACCATTTCGTGCGAGACGACTGGAAGCTACGATGTTTCTGCCTACAACATTTAAATACAGAACAATCTCCCTTTTAAAACTGCCTTGAGAAAACTGCTACAAGTTTAGCGAGGTTAGCGCGCCGTTACGTCGTTTGGATGACAATAGCGTTACATCTCGTGTCAGTTTCTACTCGATTCTAAACAAAAACGCTTGTAGACAAAATAGAACTCTAGAACGATTTCATGATTTGTCCTACATTAAAAAAAAACATGGCCTTGTAATTACAACAACTCATGGTCATTTTTTCCGTTCATGTTGAAAGAATCGAAAAAAGTGCGAGATTAAGTCTATCGCATCGCCTTCCAGATGTGTAAAGTTGATCACATCAACATAATGCGGTATTCCATAATGCACAAGAGTCAGTACCACTTACCTTCGGGATGATTTTCCTTCATTTGCTTTAGTTGCAGTCGTGCACTAGTTGGCTTTTTAGACATTTTAACAAGACACTCGAACTACCAAGACCAATGTGTTCCTTAAGGTTGAAAGCGAGTGCTCAAATAAAGTGTCGTGGACAATCATGCGTGCATTTTATATGCTTAACAGATGTAAACTATTCACCTGAATTGCGAAGCCACTTCACGTGATACAATTCAACAAGGGTATCGCAACGTTAATTGTGTAATCGTAACGTTCTTTCATAATAAAAGCAAAACGCGACTTACCTTCTCTGGCCTGCTATAAACTCTTGTTACTTACCGACTGTGTCATTTTCTATATTCAAGCGGCAATAACATTTGTTATTTTGTAAAGAATGGTAAAGTCCTAATTCTCGAAATCGTCATTCTTCTTCTGGGCTGTAGTTACAGTTAAATTTCGCAACGAGGCAGATAACACTCAACCAAAGTAAAATTTATGTCGAACTTTGCTCGAAACGAAATGGCGCAAGAACGGTTGATGGCAACGGTCGAATTTGCAATTCTGCGTATGCGCAGTGGTCCTGGCGGGAAACTGTGGAAAGCCCTCGTAAAAGTACAAAATGTCACGCAACTCTCGCGAAAAATATTTTCTGAGTTACTACAACTTTTTTTAAAATACAGTTTTTAATTTCGGCTACCCGGCCGGTCTGAAAATTTGCAATGTTCAGTTGTCAGTTTCTTTGTAAAGAATGTGGCTTGTAAAATCTAATTCTAGAAATCGGTTTTCTTCTTCAGGGCTGTTAAGGCACAGTTAAATTTCACAACGAGGCAGATAACACTCAACCTAAGTAAAATTTCTGTCGAACTTTGCCCGAAAAAGATATGTCGCAACAACGGTTTATATTGTATTTTTAAAAATAAATGTTTTCATTTCTGCCGAACGGTCGGTCTGCACATTCTGCGATATCTTTTGCTGAACCAGATCTTGCTTACGATCAATTTGTCAAATATTTAAAAGGAAATTACCTACACGACCAAAAGCTGCCAAAACGAAGATTTTTCTTTAGCAACGGCGAAAAATGTTGTTTGATGAAAGTTCGAGCGCCCATGAGGAAGACAGTGGCAGCGAACAGAGCGTTACCAGAGAAGATATTGAACGGGACAAATCCTCAGATTTTGATGATTTATCTAATGAAAACATACTGAGGACTCCAAGAAAGAACAGGAAAAGGAGAATTTGGCAAGTGAATAACGATTCAGGAGAGGAATCAAGTGCACATGAGTCATATGACTCAAGCGATGTTCACTCTTCAGAAGAAGACACTCGTGTTCTTATCAAATCACCTCAAAAGAAGAAACATTCTGCAATTGACGAGCCACTTTGTGACAGTGATGGCCCTGGCAATCCAGATGCACCCCATCAGGAGGATTGCGAACTCCATGAAACTTTAATAGGTTGTGGGGGGTCTGAAAGTGACTGGTCTGATAACTTGTCTGAAGACCCAGAGAGTGCTCCTGAATCCACCTCAAGCATTGAGCACCCCAGCTCTGAAGAGGAAGGAGCCGAAGATGAAGACACTGAGAGTGAAGGTGATATGAATTCTGGAGAGTCAGGTGAACTTCCATTATATGATGGATCTACATTAACAAGTGCCAATTTTGATGCATTGTTGTTAGCCCTTTTCAAGAAGCATTGCATATCTGAAGCTGCAAAGGAGGACATGTTGAAACTATTAGAACTTACTTTGCCAGGTAACAACAGTGTCGCACCATCATCCTACAAGTTTAACAAAAGACATGACGAGTGCTTACTTCCTTATAAGCTAATGGAACTCTGCCCTACATGTCACAAAAAAGTGGAAAAAGATTTGTGCAAAAATAGTGATTGTGGAGGTGAGGGAATGAAAGTTGAAGTACTCAGGTTTTATGAAATACCTCTAAAACCACAGCTTCAAAGACTACTTCAAGGTAAGAACAAAATGTAAAATGTACATTTAATAGAAAGTCTATGGCTAGACATACTCTACTGAGTTAAAAACCAAAAAAAAAATAAATAGAATGTCTCCAAACCTTTGTTTTTGACTAGTTTGATCTGGAGCCTCATTTTATCTTTAAAGTTGATTCTCCAGTAAATGCACGTGAAACCTTACAATCATCAAATATTCACAAAGTTATGTAAATTCTTTGCCAAGTCAACATCACTCTTAAATTAGGGGTTAAAGGCTAGAGGAGCTGATAACCTGAAAAGCACAAAAATTGTTCAAAAATATACATGCTTTAGGCAGAAAAGTCAATGAATGATTATTACATTATTACATTATTGAGCAAAGATGTACCCTGTGGCACCTTTTAACCTATAAGCCAGAAATCCTTTCTATGTGACTTCTATTAAGGGATCCCTTATGCAATTAACTGACCAATCTAATTAAGAGAAGTGAAAAAAAGAAAATTCTACATGTGAATTATTGGTCATCTTTGCTGTAACATTGGTCCTAGGCATAATTGGCACCCCAGAAAAAGTATTTTTGCTGTAAGGTTAATTTCATATTTGAGTTAATAATTTATCCACCAAAAAGTGCATTATTGGCCGAAGATATAGTTACTAAGAGTGAGCAATCATCATACTTGGTGGTTAAAATAATTGGGTTTTTTTTTATTATATATTCTCTTACAAAGGAAAGGGTAGGAGTTAAAACTGTTCCCTCCTGATATATTTTCAGAACACTGGCAATTGATTGAAGACTATCGAATGGTTATGGCACAATTGCCAGCTGAAGACTGCATAAGAGACATACAGGATGGTAGGGTGTACCAAAATTTCATCCAGCATGACCCTCGCGCCAGAGGAAGGAAAGTACTTTCAGTTGTAGTTAGCAGTGATGGGGCACCATTGATTAAGTCCAAGAAGTTTAGTATCTGGCCACTTATTTGTTTTCTTGTGGAGTTACCTCCTCAAGAAAGATACAAATTTGAAAACATCCTACTCACTGGGCTGTGGTATGGGAAGTCTAAACCAAATGTGCCACTATTTTTGAAAAATTTTACTGGCGAATTATCCAATTTGGCAAATGGCAGCAATTTTAACAACGAAACAGGTGAACTTGTGCCATCAGTGTGCAGAATCCAATCTGTTGTGCCTGACCTGCCCGCCAAAGCCTTGCTTTTTAACATCAAGCAATATAATGGTAAATTTGGCTGCAGTGTATGCAAACATCCAGGGAGGTATGACCGGCAAACACGTGCAAGGCTGTATGAATACAGGCCCTCTGGTACTGTGGCTGTCAGAACAGCACAAGAAACCAGGATGTTTGCAAGAATTGCAGAGGCAAGAGGCACCACTATATTCGGCATAAAAGGAGAAAATGTGTTTTCTCAATTAGTTGACATTCCAGACAATGTACCTATTGACTGGATGCATTGTGTTTGTGAAGGCATCCTTAAAAGACAGCTATTCAAACGGTGGTTCGATCCTCAGTATGCTACAGATGCATACAGTTTACTAGAAATTAGTCATGAGCTAGGCAATATGTTTCTCTCTATCAAAGTGCCCCATGACTTTACTAGAAAGCCACGTAGCATTGCTGAGTTAAAACACTGGAAAGCATCCGAATTTCGTTTGTTTGCCCTCTTTGCTGGACTGCCATGTCTTCGATATGCTGTTCTTTCTGATGAATTTGGTGTAGACCACTTTTATCACTTTGCACTTCTTTCCACTGCCCTTCGTTTCCTGCACTCAACTCCTATTTCTAAAACTTGTGTAGAGAAGGCACAAGTTTTGCTTGATAACTTTGTGAGACTTTTACCAAGTCTTTATGGTATTGAGGAGTGTACTTACAACTCCCATGCTTTACTCCACTTCCCTTCCCAAGTTCTTGACCATGGTTCCTTGGCACTTACTTCTGCTTTTGTATTTGAAGCATTCATTGCTCACCTTAAAAATCTGTATTCTGGAACAAGGGGACTCCCAAAGCAGATGGTGGAAAAACTAGGGGTAAGCCAGACCTACAAGGTGCACGTTTTGCAGAAATGCAAATCAACACCCAGTGCTGCTAGGTTTGCAAAACATCTGCTTGGTGAAAGGCCCAGTGTTCGGTATACAGAAGGGGGAATCCTGCTGCATGAACCTGTGCACTTCAAGAAGCTGACACAGTTTCAAAATGTCCTTTCTGCAGCATTTGGAAGTGGTCCTGACCAAGAATACTTGGTTTCCTATAGGATGACAAAAGATCATGTCACCTTCCACAGCATGATGTATCCTAGAAAAGGAAATTCGTGCAGTTACCTTGTTCAGTTTTGTGCACATGGGAGGAAATGCTATGGCAGAGTGG